TTTCTACAAAGGATGCATTCGATTTTCGCTCAGCCTTACGATGGGGGTAGGACGGGTCTAGTTGCGAAGTTCGGGACCTCACATCCGGGCCAGCATATCGCCCATCCCGGGAGATGCATCTGGTTGTAGGTTGGAGGAAGCCCACGAAGGGGAGAACTGGTGATGGGAGGATACTCACCTGATGACAATGAGCGATAGGGGGTAAGCGGATGTTGCTTGCTACAGATCACTAGGCAGACAGACGGCGGATCCAGGCGGTGAGATGAGGAAGGAGGGGCTTCCTCGTGCGCAGTGCTGACCACAGTAACTGCAAGTAGTGGCTACGAGTCGCATCGGTTGAGGTTTCAGGCGGTGGTGACGAAGTCATGGCCAGTGCGCTTCGAGTTACGATCCATACCGTTGCTGGGCTGTGTTGCTGCTTTTTCGACGAAATGCTTGTTGAGCAGCACGGAGTACTACTGTCTGTTTGCATGCTGTGACTGCTGCACCTCGTTGCTCTGCGAATGACAGTTGTGGTTCGCTGAGGGCCACAGAGTATGGTCGTTGCATACGGCTGCCGATATACCAACATATTCTTTGAGCGTAAAGGACATCGCGATTCTGATCGTCTGCCCCACTATCAAGGATCTAATTACTCTCGTGTGCCAAGTGCGAACATTGTCGGGTTGGGTTCGCTACAGATCACTAGGCGGACAGACGATGCGTCCGGACTATGGGATGAGGAAGTCGGTGTTTCCCCACTTAGAGGACCATCTGCAGTAACTGCACGTGATGGTCACATGCTGTACAAGTTAGTTTCAGACTGTGCTCACGAGTTGTGGCCTGCATACTTCGAGTTACGGTTCGTACCACTACTGAGCCGTGCTACTGCCCCTTCTGCAGTACGCTGGTTGAAATGACGTGGAGCACCACTGCGTGTGTGAGTACAGCGGTTGCTGTACCTTGCTGCTGCGAATGACAGTAATGTTTCGTTGTGGACCTTAGCGTATCACCGTTGCATGTTGTTGTTGATACACCGCTGCGTCTGACTGTGGCTAGTGTCATGCATCATTGGTAGTAGCACGGCAGATGCACAGACTACAACTGCGTACTATGTGCGGACTGCGGCTGCTGGCCACCACTGCTGTTGCTGCGGCCGCTGTTGTGTACTGCTGCTGCTGGTGACTACTGTTGTTGCTGCTGACCGCCACTAAGTATTGCTGCTGCATCTAAGAATTGTTACAGGCTGTTGGGCGGCTGTGGTTGGGCTGAGGAGAGGTGCTGAGGCTTGGGGAGGTGGTCAGGCTGGACGAGTAGGGGGTTAATGCGGCGATTTGGGAGGTCGCCAGGGGGTTGATTTCGGCAGTTCTACTTCAGAAGTTGAAGAAGCTGTTACATTGGCTGCAATTGCGGGGCCCTCAGGCAATTGAAGACAACAAGGCCCTCTCTCGCGAGTCTGAGCGCACCCTCCTTGGATCTGAGAGTCTCAAAACCTTTCTCTATCTGCTCTTCTCACTCTAAGTCTAGTCTGTTGGTTACGAGAGGAAGGCGGCAAGCGGGATTGCAACCCGTAGGTCCACACCAAGACTCTGTGGGGAGTCAGCCCACCGATTGCGGGAGCCCTACCGGAACCTAGGCGAGGTTCTGGAGGCAGGGAACCATCAGGTAATCCATCTCTATCTGTATAACCCACTACACCCATGTTTGCATATCCCCCTGGAGTTTGATTGGTGTATGCATGCCTGTCCCTATGATTTTTGCTTTCTCTTCAGGACATAACCAGACAAAGTAAAGGAATGTATGTACAATGTCAGTTTCACTTTTATTTGTTTGACTGAAAGCAGATTGTGGGGTTGCACCTGGGGGACCAGACATGTTCCATAAGTTTGGGTGGTCTGGTTGCTCTGACTGGTGAGGGCTGAATGTGATTGCTTTTTCAGGGACCAAGCATGTTCCATAAGTTTGGGTGGCTTGGTCGCCTTGTTTACTTTGGGTTTTTGTCAGTTTCCTTAGTTCCTGAACGAGGAGGTCTGAGCATGTTCCATAAGTTTGGGTGGCTCAGCCTCTTCCTGCTTTGGCTTTTGGGGAGAATTGAACCAGGCTGAGGACCAAGACATGTTCCATAAGTTTGGGTGTATTGGTCCAACGCCTTGCACATGCTGGAACCAAGAGGTTATAACTTGGTTATACTCCATTATTATATTATATATGAACAGGCTAGTCAGACAGGGTTCCATAAGTTTGGGTGGTCTGACTATAGCTTTTCACCAACTGCAGAAAGTACTAATTAAGAATAAAACTTGTGGTACGAAGGGGCAAGCCGAGTCTTGAGCTGAAGATGATCGGCTCAGTTATATGCTACCTCAAAAGACTAAGTGCAGACAATTATATAGATTATGGATACTCAAACAGTTCAGGGCGACTAGGGTGGCCTAGTCATGTGCCCAAAGAAGAGAAAAGTTGTTGTGCCCTATGTTTGTGTATACTTCATGGTTGGGCTAGACATGTTCCATAAGTTTGGGTGGTCTAGCCTTATGCCCTATGTAAGCTGGGTATAAGGGGATAAATCACTGAGAGACTATGAACTATTGTTTGCTAAATTGACTTGGGGATGGTGAGATCACTTACCTTTGTGGTTTGGCCTGCATGTGACTGAGTGATGCCACTACTTAGTCTGAGTTTCAGTTGATACGTAGTTGCTTTAGTTGCTCGCCACGTGCTAGAGCCAGAGGAGTTAGTTTCAATTTCTGCATTTTCTGAGCTGAGATTTTTTTTACTTAGATCAATTTCTGCATTTTCTGGGATCTTTTATTTATACTTTGTCTTGTATAAATCTTGGTAAGCCACTTTCTCTACGGGAAGCGCTGCCGAAATTTCTACAAAACCAAGGAGTTAGTCAAAACTTTTTTCTTCAGGATTCAGTCTTGTTGGCTTTTTGACTTAGTAAGAATCTGGGAAACCTCCTTTTCTAAAGGAAGTGCTGCCCAACTTCTTACTAATTCCGGGAGTTAGACAAAATTGGGCCTTGAAGAGTCAAATTCATTTTAGATTCTAAACTTAGCTTTGTATAACTCTTGGAATAGCACTCTCTCTACGGGAAGCCCTGCCGGAATTTCTACAAATCTACGGGGTTGGTTAAAATTATGGCTTAACAAAACTCAGACTTTATGTTTGAGTTCATATCTGACTTTGTATAAATCTGGAAAGTCTTCCTTTCTAAAGAAAGTGCTGCCCAAAGTTTTGCAGAGTCAGGGAGTTAGACAAATTTTGACTTTCTAGAATCCAAAAGTCTGATTTTTGGGCTAGTACAAATTCTGCAATGACACTTTTCCTACGGGAAGCGCTGCCGAAAGTTTTCCTAACTTAGAGGAGTTAGATTATATTTCGACAGGCGACGATTTCTGGAGATCCACTCTGTGTAGGGGAGGTTATGCCAGGGTCTACCCTTGCTTTGGACACTGCTTAGCGGTAGATCCGAGCTTAGTTGAATAGGGTGATTTGAGTGAGATCGTGATATGGAGATTATTCTCCATGAACTTGTAGACTTAGCGTGGGGATTGGCTTGTCTTGAGTTACAGGTCTTCTTGAACGAGTCGATTCAGGATTTGGGCTAGACTCAACTTGATCCTACAAGGATCACCTTATGTTATCACTGATAACAGGTCGGTTGCCGATTCGTCGGTTTGCGACTCAATTCCAACTAAAAAGGCTTCAGCCCTGGTGATTTTTATTGTTTTGTTAAGATTGCAAGGAATATGAGTGTGAGCGATATACATAAAACCAAGTTGCAAAATCACACAATTGAGCAAGTAGGAGTATCCCAAGCAGAGAGTCCATAAAGCGCAATACAATGGAGTATTGAGCCAATGTCCAAGCCCGTAGGCCACACCAACACAGTATCCAGAGTCGCTCTCTCTGTCTGGCGCACAACATCCAGCCTACTCTACCATACTATCCTACTCTACAGCTGGATCACGCAACAGGATCACTTCGGCTCAAGAAGACCAATGTGCATGACTGTCCACACCATCGGCGACCTCTCTTCATGTACCAGGTACGTATCTCGTCACCCTCAATCAGACCTTAATTACCTCACACAGCGCCTCACTCCCTGAAGACCACCCGATCATCCGCTGTACCCCCTGGCGCCCAACAGCCCGGCTATGGCTGCCTGCGCCCCGCTGCTCTGCAACGCCCCACCTCACCTCTTGCGCTCCGTCAGCGCCCTTGACAGCAGCGCAGCATCAAGCGAGAGCGCAGCAGCACTTCCGCATAGCTAATGCTGGCCAAAATACCTGGCCTCGGCTGCCTCACTTCCTTTATGGAAGTGGCAGCTTGCTGCATACTGCGTGTGGCCTGGCTGGAAGCTTCCAATAGCTTCCGGTTGGGCCTCAAACCCTGTGCCCAGGCCGAGACTTACAGTTGAGGGCCTGGGCCCCTTTACAGTTGGGCGCGCCCTGAGTCTCCGGACTTAGGTTGTTAGCTGCATCTGCGCAGGGCCCCCAGGTAGGTGCGTCGGCTGTACTGCTTTTCCAAAGGCCGACGACCTGCTTCTCAATGTATCGGCCCTGCTTTGTGTGTAGGTGCCCAGGCACAACTTTCGTGGCCTGGGCCAACTCTACGGCGCAGCTTAGTGAGGCTCGCGCGTTCACTCAACCAACTGACGCGCTGCAAGAGGCTGAATACCCACATATGGAAATGTCGAATTTGGCCTGTGACGAATATTCAGGCCCGCCTTCACTTAGGGCGGGCACTTGGCTTGCTGGGGCCTTGGCCCAGAACAATGTGATGTCTGAAAGGGCCACTTGAGGGCTTGTTCCTCACATTCCATCCCCCTTAGCTTCGAAAGTCCGCTGAGATGCTTCATGCTGGTGCTTTCCCCTTCAGTCTTTTCTCATAATCGGCCACGATCTGAGGAGCTGTCTTGACAAGTTCCTCCCTTGAAATCCATCGATCTTCCTTCGGATCTGTTGAAGCCTTAAATGTACTCTATATTCCCTTGCAGGTTTGGGAGGTCTTACCCTGCCAGGTGGCTTAGGAACAAGCGTATCTCTGTGATCCAGGATATCGTCGACGTCCACGTGGCCATCCATGGTTGGGGGCAGCGTAGATCTCCGTGATGGGAACTGTGCTGTCTCAGCGAAAGGTGCAAGTTTGGAAGCGTGGAAAACAGGGTAAGTGCGTAAGTGACCAGCGATACAAATAACGTACGAGGGACCATCCAAATCATTTCCCACGATATCCAGGACTTCCCAGGGACCGAAATACTGAGGCATTAGTTTCCTAGAGATGCCGAACTCCTGTCCCAGTTCACTAGCCTTGACCCAGACGCGTTTCCCTACCTGAAATGTAGACTGTCGACGACGCTTGTTCTCATAAGCAATCATAGCCTCTCGAGATTTCTTAATATGCTCGACAATCTGCTGCAACAGTTTCTCATACAGGACACCAAATTCAATGGTTCCAGGAGTTGCAGCAGTTCGGTTTTCAGGCAGGAGGAAATCTAGAGCGGATCTAGGCTTCCATCCGAGATGTAGCTGATTAGGACTGACACCAATGGTGCTGTGTACAACATTGTTGTACAGACTGGCGATGAGAGGCAACTTCTCATCCCAGTCATCTTGGTTGGGCTTGATGTAATGCCTCAGCAGATGCTGCACCACTCGGCTCATCTGTTCAGCCTGCCCATTTGCTTCGGGATGATTCCCAGAAGTCATCTGAAGCTGGCTGCCCATCTGTTCAGCGGTCTGTTTCCACAACTCACTAGTGAAACGGACATCTCTATCACTAACGACAGTCTTAGGCAATCCAAAATCACGCACCCAGTTGTCCATGAACAACTTCATGACGTGCTCAGTCCTGGCAGTCTCTAGCATGGCGATTAGTCTAGCGTACTTAGTGAACCTATCCACTATGACGAAGATGTGCCTCTTGCCATTCTTGCTGGTCACAAGATATCCATGAAATCCATGGAGATACTCTGCCCTGGGCCAGCAGGAATGGGTAAAGGCTTGAGTAACCCAAGCCGAGCTCGAGTCCGCGGCTTGTCGCGCTGACAGACCTAACAGGTCTCCACGTACTTCTTCACATCGTCAAGCATGTTGGGCCACCAGAATCGCTGTACTAAATTAGCACTAGTCTTCTAATAGTCGAAATGTCCCATTGCGTCGTGGCAGTCACCTAAAAATAAACTACGCACAATCTCTCTAGATGGAACAACTAGCCTCTTGAAACCTGCATTCTCAAGAAAGAGCAACCCATCCACCATCACAAACTCACCAGTGGTGGCCTTGTCTTTAGCCTGTAGTTTGTTGATGATGTCCATCGTGATGGGATCTTCCTTGTAGGCTTCATCCAATGATCGAGTCACGTCCTTGGACAAACCAAACTCATAAATCAGCGCACCTAGGTAGTCTGCCCTCCTAGACAATGCATCTGCAACCTTGTTGTACTCTCCCTTCAAATAGTCTTAGTTTGAAATCATATTGATTTATGACTTCAATCCAGCGTTTGAGTGCATCGGAGAGAACTGGTTCAGTCTTGATCCACTTGAGCGTCTGATGGTCAGTTCTCAAGTAGAAGAACTTTCCTAACAGGTAGTGCCTCCAGTGGACAAGTGCCTTGTAAAGAGCGTAGAGTTCCCTCTCGTAGGTGGACTTTGCCAACTATTTGAAGGGATCTTTTTGATCATGTACTCGATCGGTCTCAACTTCTTCCCTTCCTGTTGAGCCAGCACTGCGCCAATCCCATATTGGCTTGCGTCAGTGGTCACAACGAATGGCCATTGCGGGTCGGGTAACATGAGAACCTCATGGTGTGTGAGAGCATACTTCAAACGTTTGAATGCTGCCTCACACTCGTCGGTCCAGTCCCATGGTGTGTGAAGTCGAGTTAGATCAGTCAAGGCAGATGTGATCGTGCTATAATTCTTTACGAAATTGTGGTAATAACCACACATTCCCAAGAATGATCTGACCTCAATCACAGACTGGGGTCATGGCCAGTCACGAATGCTAGCCACCTTCGCATCTTCGGGCCTAATCCCATCCGCGGATACCTCATGACCCAAGTACAAGATTCGAGTGCGACCAAACTCGCATTTCTCAGAGTTTATCTTATACTTGTGTTGCCGAAGGAGTGAAAGTACCTTGTCTACATGTTGAGCATGCTCATCGACAGATCTACTAAAGATAAGTATGTCATCGAGGTACACGACAACAAACTTATCTAAGTAGTCATGGAAGATCCTATTCATGGCGTGCTGGAATGTACCCGGCGCATTGCAAAGGCCAAAAGGCATCACCACAAACTCGTACTGACCGTACCTGGTCTGAAATGCGGTTTTGTGCTGGTCCTCTGGTCTAATGACAATCTGATGGTTGCCGGATTTTAAGTTTATCTTTGTGTAGTACTTACATCCCTGCACCCTATCCAATAGGTCGTCGATGCGTGGTAGAGGCTTTGCGTTCTTAACGATGATGGCATTGAGGCCTCTATAATCAATGCACATCCTTAGTGTTCCCCCTTTTTTTGGAACAAACAATACTGGTGAGCCAAAGGGGGACGCGTTAGGCCGGATCCAACCCTTCTCTGTGAGCTCTTTCAGTTGCCGCCGAAGTTCGTCCAACTCGTTTGGAGCCATCCTATAGATTCTACCCTTAGGTGTTTTACTTCCTGGGATAATCTCTATGGCATGGACAATCTCCCTGTCTACGACTCCTGTAGGCTCCTCGAACAGATCTGGATACTTAGCGACGATGGTCTCTATCTCTGGGGGTGTTTTAATGGCCTCCCCTTTTGCAGAGACATAGACTAAGTATATTCCTTCCTCTTGGTTCTGTTTATAATAATATAAAAGGCAGATGCGCATAAGCACCCATAGGAGTCTACTAACCTACTGGCTTTGTACTTGCCCAGTCTCACGGTTCTCCCACTAGGCAACTCATGCGTCAACACCTTCTTGTCCCAGTCAAACTGGGGCTTGGCAACCTCGAGGTAGTACATGCCCAATAACATGTCAAAGGGCAACTAGTTGCTCACCAGGAATGATATCTTATGGTTTATCTCTCCTCTTGGGTAGGAGAAGGTGCAGACTACATCTTTAACGTAGTCCTCCACCATCACGCGCTCTTTGTTGGCCAAAGTAGATGCTACCGGTCTACTAAGGCGCTGCACCCGGTCCTTTAGGCACAATCTATCAACGCAGTCGCGGCTTATGAAGTTTCGTGTGGAGCCAATGTCTACGAAGGCGCCGCACTTGCGACCACCCACATCAACTTCCACAACGAAGTGCTCCCCTCTAGGACCTCTACTCAGTGCCACCCAGGTCTCACAAGGGTCCCTTGCCGACCACTCACCTTGAAGGTCCTCTAAGGCCTCAGACACATCCAACGTACAGAGTATAGTTGGGTCTGGATGCGTCTGCGGGGTGACTAAGGAGTCAATAACTTTGGCCATCTCTTGAAACGGGGAGGGTACTTCACCCGCTTCAACGAGTGTAGAAGCAGCTATAACTTCTACTGGCCCTAAGTGTTTCCCGAGCTGGAGCTCGTAGAGGCCCCAGACTGAGAAGGAGGAAACCCACCCTTAGGAGGGATCTTTCTGCGAGACCTTCGGGTTCTTGCACTTGAACTGCGTATGACCGTACTCACCGCATTTGATGCAAGCACCACGAGACCAAAGGTCCCGCCACACATCTTGATCCAGACCCGCTCTAACCCAAGCAACAATTTTGTTTCGGTTGACAGCCTGCCCCCGACTCCTTTGCTGGTCGCCCTTCCCGCGGCCACCTGCCTTAGTCTTAACTACGGCAACGAGGTTGCCACCCTCAACACTCTCCTCGCCGTCAAACTCTGAACCCTCCACAAGATCAGAAACATCATCGATCTCGGTTTGACTCCCATCGGAATCAACTATCATCAATCGACTACCCTCCTTCTTCCACTCTATGTCGAGCCTCGCTGGCTAATAAGTTCCTAATGTATGTGGGAAGACATCTCAGGAACATGGTCAGCAAGACCTGTGGATTGTATTCCACTCCCGGGACGACGATCAGGCGCTCTACGGCTGTGGTAAGTTCCCGCACTGACTTGTACTTTCTAGTATCAAGTTTCAAGAGCCCATTAGTGGCTATCTGTGCCTGCTGAGGGTTGTGCCAACGAGCCTCCACTAAATCCATAAAGCTTTCAAGAGTATGGGTCTGCGCCCAATCATGCATGTTCCTGCCGAAGCCCTTTGAAGCTACCAATCCATTTAACCAGCGGGCTGCTGAACTCTCCAAGTAGGATGCAGCAGTAATCACCTCCTCTTCTACCAATGTCCTTTTCGCCCTCACCCACATTGGAACCGTTCTCAACCATGTGTCGAGTGCCTCATCCTTCTTGTCTCCTGAGAAGCTTGCAGGTGGGTTCAGTGGGGTCTTAGAGTACCAAGGATATTGCTGTCCCTGTTGTGAGACAGGTGGCAACTGTGGTGTAGCAGCAGTCGCTGGACCAGAAGATGAAGAAGCGACAGTCTGAGATAGAGGTACTGTTGATGATTCACTTGGTGGTGGTGTAGACTGAGCAGCATAGAGACCTGTCATCGCTGAGAGTGGCAGCGATGGTAAAGCTGCTGGCCGGATCCCTGGCTTATGCAGCGCTTGCAGAATCTGGTCTAGGGTATCCTGCATGGCGTCCATCTTGCTATCTATGTACGCATGCATGGACAGGACACTTGCCTTAAGGATCTTTCCTGTAGAGTTAAGGGTTATGTCCTCTAAACCCTCTAGCGCAGCCAAATCTGCCTCCCTGCGCTCTAATCTGACACTTCTTTCTTTGACCTCTTTCCCTTTTAGTAGCCTGTCTAAGTTCCTCCTCTAACCTTAAGCGGATCCTCTCTACTTGCTGGAGCTCCATCTGCTCCTGGGTGCGTGGAGGCGGCGAGTTGAACTGCGAGCCCGCCATCTGAGTAGTGCCAACCCCTGACGTCCTGGAGATTGCTTGTGAACTGGTCGGCATGCCTAGCCCTTGACCAGTTGAGTTCGCAGCAGTTGCTGCGGAAGTAGCATTACTCATTGCTACCGCTCTAGCGGCTGCTGCTTTTCTTGCAGCCTCAAGATTACGGGCCCTAGCTTCAGACCTTAATCTTCTCTCTTCTCCCGGTTGTAGGGTCTGAAACACTCTAGGGATTCTAAGGGATGATAGACTTGTTAACCTCCTATCGTCATCTACACCCTCACCACCCTCTGATCCACTCATAGGTTAGGCAGACGCTGTCTGCACTAGTGTCCTCGCTGGAACCTACCGCAGCATGCGTCTAACCGGATCTAAAAATAAATAAAATAATAATGTCCGGCGAGTTACCTAGTCTACTAGTCAAGCGGCATTAACAACATCTACACAAACTGTACACATTGTGTAAACTCTATTCTGATTAGTCTGCACAGAAGATTCAAGAAGAACTGACTATGGTAGTTTACAGTCCTACTCTAGGTTGTCTGTTAGGTGTCAGCAGTCGGTCAACCAACTAATCAAAATAAAACCTAGTGAATGTGAGCAGATGTATGCACAATGGATATGTAAGTGATGTACAATTGAGTTCTCAATTGGAATCCCCTTCCCCTGTATCCAATGTACCTGTGAGCATCATCAAGCTGCGGTGTCTAAGGTGTGCAACCACGGCCCACCCCTGTGCCCAACAAGTATGCTTATGACCAGCCTGCCCCTTTGTTTACCCTCGCGTGCAACGAGCCTTACGTCTGAATGATCTGGCTGATCAGGAGGGCCCACCCCTGTGCCCAAGAAGTATGCTTATCAGCCTGCCCCTTTGTTTACCCTGGCGTGCAACGGGCCTTACGTCTGAATGATCTGGCTGATCAGGAGGGATTTAAGGAGAGCCCCCATCTCCTCAGGAATTATTTAACGTCGCAAACAGGACGACGATCACAGCCAGTGGACAGTTCAGACCCCAACCAGAAATTTTTATAGGCGGTCTGGGAGCGTCTCAATAGGACTGGTCAGTCAGCGCAGCAAAGAGCCTTAATGGACAAAGCAGCCATCGCATGTGTGTACTAATCCCATTGGGTTGGCATGGTGATCGTGACCCACGTGCTTCGACCAGGGCCCTTCAGAGGCACCGCCCTCTCCTGCCAAATGCGCCACCGGGAAGAATGTCGTCTCTCAAGATAGAGCCCACACGACTCCTCACCAAAGAGAGGACACTCAAGTTGGACTCACTTCCTCACGGTAAGAAGAGATTGAGAGGGTAGATAAGGAATGGGATCAATGTACCTGGAGATAGCTGCCCCCAACCACAGATTTCTCACCAATTGGACTGATGTGCATTTCGATGACCGGTCGATACCCTCAGTACCACCCACAACGCAATGTAGTGCCACCTCAGCCAAATGCCACGTCAGCATACTCTCATCATCATCTATACATCCGTTGTCGTCACAACTCCCATGCTGTCGCCACAGCCTTCCAGCGGCTGGCCTCTCTACCTAGGCCCCGCTAATCAACCAGCGGCAAAGTATTCTCACTGCACATGAAGCATCCTCAGCGCACCAAGTTACAATGTCACCGATGTCAAGTAAGTGGTGATCATCAACCAGCTCCGATACCAAATTGCAAGGAATATGAGTGTGAGCGATATACATAAAACCAAGTTGCAAAATCACACAGCTGAGCAAGTAGTAGTATCCCAAATAGAGAGTACAAATGCACCAAGAAAACCATCCATAAAGAGCAATACAATGAAGTATTGAGCCAATGTCCAAGCCCGTAGGCCACACTAACACAGTATCTAGAGTCGCTTTCTCTGTCTGGCGCCCAGCGCCCAGCCTACTCTACCATACTATCCTACTCTGCACTGGTTCACGCAACAGGATCACTTCGGCTCAAGAAGACCAATGTACATGACTGTCCACACCATCGGCGACCTCTCTTCATGTACCAAGTACGTATCTCGTCACCCTGAATCAGACCTTGATTACCTCACACAGCGTCTCACTCCCTGAAGACCACCCGATCATCCGCTGTACCCCCTGGCGCCCAGCAGCCCGGCTATGGCTGCCTGGGCCCCGCTGCCCTGCAACGCGCCCCACCTCACCTCTTGAGCTCCGTCAGCGCCCTTGGCAGCAGCGCAGCATCAAGCGAGAGCGCAGCAGCACTTCCGCATAGCTAACGCTGGCCAGAATACCTGGCCTCGGCTGCCTCACTTCCTTTATGGAAGTGGCAGCCTGCTGCATGCTGCGTGTGGCCTGGCTGGAAGCTTCCAGTAGCTTTAGGTTGGGCCTCTGACCCTGTGCCCACGCCGAGACTTACAGTTGAGGGCCTGGGCCCTTTACAGTTGGGCGCGCCCTGAGTCTCCGGACTTAGGTTGTTAGCTGCATCTGCGCAGGGCCCCCAGGTAGGTGCGTCGGCTGTACTNTGTTAGCTGCATCTGCGCAGGGCCCCCAGGTAGGTGCGTCGGCTGTACTGCTTTTCCAAAGGCCGACGGCCTGCTTCTCAATGTATTGGCCCTGCTTTGTGTGTAGGTGCCCAGGCACAACTTTCGTGGCCTGGGCCAGCTGTACGGCGCAGCTTAGTGAGGCTCGCGCGTTCACTCAACCAACTGACGCGCTGCAAGAGCCTGAATACCCACATATGGAAATGTCGAATTTGGCTTGTGACGAATATTCAGACCCGCCTTCACTTAGGGCGGGCACTTGGCTTGCTGGGGCCTTGGCCCAGAACAATGTGATGTCTGGAAGGGCCACTTGAGGGCTTGTTCCTCACAAGATTTCACCCGGACTTTTATTGAATGGCCATTTGACAAAGGTACTGAGTATTTAATTATGGTTGGTTGGCTGGAGGTTGGGGCTTGCATGGCTAAAGCGAGGGATATGAGTACAGAGAGTGGTTGGGGTTGACTCCGTGTAGTGTGTGGATTTTGTTGGACTTTTGATGTGACTGCAGGTATGTTATCTGGTTCGGATTTGGGATTTGACTGCTTGCGATCACACATATACATATGGTCGTGAGGAGCCCCACCGTGATTGTGAGAAGTGATCGTCACATACTTATCCCCATTTGTACATATATCTATAGATATGTGTGTACCTATGTTGGAAGTTCGCATGGCCCAAGGGGCCAGCGTATTAAGGGTTAAATAGGGGTTGAGGTAGGCAAAAAAAAACCGCCTCTTGATTGTATACTTTTTTTGAGTTCTTAGTCGGACGTTGGTCCTGGGCCGGGATTCAAGGTCCTTGTCTAGGACATCCCAAACCCTAGACTCTGCGAGGAAGGAACCTTCCCCTGCCCAGAGCCTATTCGCCTGCGAAGACACTCAAGCCAAAGGCCTGAGGTCTCACGGCGGCCGCACGGCTAATCCTTCAGCCGTGCAATATCGTGAGGGAGTAGACCCTCACGATACTTCGAGTCTGACACTTGAGCGTCATAAGCGGTACTCGGATCCACCAGGGACCGCTTGATTATGGGCACTACATAGTACGCCATCACTGCGACTGCTTGCGTATGCTTGCATTGCGAGTCGATATGAGAGAGTCCGGTGTCCGCGCGGTTTTATACTAGTCTCGCGCGCGACGCCTATCCGAGTCCGCCTCGGAAAAGTTATGGGATGGCTACCGAGGGACTAGGAGCGTTATCGCGTTGTTTGTGTTGTGTTGTTTCGTGCATATGTTGTGTGTGTGTTTTATTTTTTGTTCCTGTATAGTGGTGTGCGCGTGGCGTGTGGGATGCGTCCTAGTCGACCGGCGATGAATCGCGCTTGGGACCTCAACCCCCCCGGATGTCGGTTCGCGTACGGGTCCGATAGAGGCGTAATACCACGCGTACCCCCTATGCAACAACGAACGAGAAACGCCCTCGGCTGGTCCACCTCTGCGATTGCAGCTGATCAGCTTTCGTACTGTGGACTGGTAGCTCGACGGGGATACGCCCACCGAAGGGAGGTGACAGCTCCCGTAAGGTGTAGGTAA